AACCAATGGGTCTTAAACGCCAAACCTACAAAAAAGCTCAAGAGGCGGCGAGAAAAGATATTGAACGAGCCTTTGGGGTCTTGAAGGCTAAGTGGCACATTCTAGATCGTCCGTCGAAATGTTATTCTCAGACAAAAATGAGGAATATCATGTACGCATGTATTATTCTTCATAATATGATTATAGAGGATAACGGGTCTGCGATTTGTCAATACAACCCGGACGACGAGGTGTCTATGTACGAAGAAATCACCGAAGAAAAGAAACGACGCAACCGCCAAGAAATTCGAAGCCGAGAGATTCACAATGCACTAACGGCGGATTTGATCGAGCATATCTTTAGTCGTTCGAATAATTAGTGATTTCTTTGTATTGTTGTTTTTTTTATGTAATTTTGTTTATTGATTGTAATTTTTTTTAATGTTTTTTTTTTATGAATGTAAGATTTTTTATTAATGAATTTAATTTTTTTATGCAATAGTGTCATTGCGATTAAATAAAATAATAAATTAATTTAAAATTATAAATTTAAATTTAGAAGATGTATATTTAAAAATGTAAAAATGAAGGTTTGAAGCCCCAGTTTGAACCCCTGGGGCTTCAAAACCATTTCCAGTGAATTTTGGGTGTAAGTTAAAGCTAACGTGGCAGAGAGAGAAAGTTTGAAGCCCCGGTTTGAAACCCTGGTGCTTCATGACCATTACCAGTGCTCTTAGATGAAGATAAAACGACTTGTTGTTGGGCAGAGTGTGTGAGGAACCTGTATTGAGAGCACTGGTAATGGGCATAACGCCCGGGGCGTTATTGCTCCTTTTAATGCCAAAGGGGCAGCAAACACCGCCCCCCTGGGGCTTCAAAGGGGCTTCATACTTTATGCTTCAAACGTTTAACGGGCTTCATTCATTAAAAAACAACAAAAAATTACATAAATGCCATAAGACTAAAATTTTTTTTACTCTTTATATTCTTTCTTTTTAAAAGAATAAAACAAACACAAACATAATTTTTTTACTCTATATTTTATTGTTTAATGTAATATTTTTTGTCTAAATTTTCTTTCGTAATGTAATTTTTTTTGTTGTTTTTTAAATTTAACATACTTTTATTGACTGTATTTTTTAATTAATGTATTATTTCAATTTGCAATATGTTACTACAATCCCGATTTGAATGAAGATATATTTAGTTGCTTGAATAATCAGTAATTTCTTCATAAAGTAATATAATTTTTTATATTTTTTTTTTCATTACTCAAATCTTATTTGGTTAATTTACTTTTTATTGATTTTTTTATTTAATAATTTATTTTCATTTAAATTCAATTAATTGATAAAATGTTATTAATTTAATTTTAGAAGATGTATATTTAAAAATATACGGAGTAAAAAATAGAGGTTTGAAGCCCCAGTTTGAAGCCCCGGGGCTTCAAACCCATTTCCAGTGAAATTTTAGGGTAAGTTAAAGCTGATGTGGCAGAGAGAGAAGGTTTGAAGCCCCGGTTTGAAGCCACCATTACCAGTGCTCTGAGGTCTTGGGCTCTTTGCCCTCCTTTTCGATAAAAAATAACAATGATGAGATTATACCCCTGGCCCCCCTGGACATGTGAGATATTGGGCATGTTCCATGGGAGAAGCCCATTAGGGAAATTCTAACCCTAGACTCTTCTTCTACTATAAATAAGGCTCAAAGGCATGAAGAAATGGGAGTCTCTCGACATACAATACACCATCTCTCTCATATTCACCATCTTCCTTATAGAGACTCGAGCTCTATCGATGGCTATCAAGCTAATATGTTGTACAAATATTCTGCTATTAGTAATAAAATATCCTCTTCGCATGGTATTGCATACAAAAATTATATTTTTTTCTAATTTAAGTTTACATGTAAACATTGTGTGTTCTTTATATTGTTCATATTTATTACGGAGTATATTATTATTTGATTATATTTGATACTCCGTATGTATTTAACATACCCCTGTGGATTAAATTCCATCAAATAAATTTGTATTTTAAATGCTTCTAATATCTTTACATTAATCTATAGGAAGTTAAATAAAATACAATTTGCACCTAATAAAATTCGATATGAATTATTAAAAATTAATATATTATTAGTAGGATATATGTTTAGTTTGAAATTTTTAGTATGAGAAATTATCTCGCATTGCTCCTAAATCTTGAATCAATTGTTTATTATTTGGTACTTTTTTCGTTTCAAATTTATATTTTATTCCGTAATTTTTCAAGATGAGTTTAATGCCTCTTCGGAGCTAGTGATGAGCATAAAGACTAGGTCCGAAAAGATCAGTTGAGATAGATTAAGATTGAAAGCGGAAAAATAGGACCAAGGTGGTCATTGAGACCGGTCCAGTCTTGGACCAGTAGTCTCATTTGGTCCTTGATTTTTTATGAAAGGCGAGACCAGTCTCGGACCAGATGGTCTTTTTCAAAAGACTAAACCGGGACCAGACTATGACTAGAGATATAATGTATTTGAAATATAACTTTTATACATGTATATTTATACTTTAAAATTTAATTTTTATAGAAATATATTTATCCTATCAATATAGAACATAGTGCATTACACAATTTTATTTAAAATTTAGAAAGAAGTGATGAAATCTCATACCTATAAAACATACTCCGTATATATAAAATTTTATTTTCGTTAATTCTATCCAACTTTCACCTCACCTAATACTTCCTCCATCCCGTTTTATAATGCATGTTTCGGTTTACGATGTTTGACTGAAATTATTTTCAAATCATTTTATATGACAAATGGTATATAGTTAAAAAAATAAAAATTACATATTAAAATATTACATCCAAAGATCTACAAAACTAGTAGTGACAATAGTATTTTATTTTATCAAATTGTTAACGAAAATAGAGAAAGAAAGTAAATAAAGTTTGACCCTGTGAATAGTAAACATGCGATATAATTTGGGACGGAAGGAGTAATATTCATGTTACATAATTATTACGAAGTATAAATCAATAAAGTATAAAAAAGAAATTAAATAGCTAAGAATAAGATCTTTTATTTTATTTTTTATGAGTACTTTTTTGAAGAACAAAAATTTAAGAATTTTACATATTAAGGATTGGATCGGTTCTAACTAGGCTACCCGTTCCCAAAATGTCTCTATTTTTTGATGAAGACTTGTTTAGTCTGGACTGATTTTTAAAGAAGACTTGACCGATCCCAATCTAAATCATCACCGAGTCATTGAAGACAAGTCCGAAAAGCCTTAGCCAAGTAGCTAGCCTAACTAGCCAATCCAAAACCAATTTACCCGACCAACCCGCACATTCTTTTCTTCTTTATACTCTTTCTCTCCCAAAATAAAAATTTAGTTCCATATACTATGTATATCAAAATATTTATAAAACAAGTAGAGATAAATTTATTTTATTTTATCAAATAATCAACAAAAATATACTCCGTATAAAAAAAGTAGTGTTAATTTGACATTTGAAAAGTAATTATGAGTTTTTTAGACAAAAGAAATATTTTACTGAAAAATGATAGATGTCCATGAAAAAGTGTAACCCAATTGTAAATAAAGGTAAACACATACTCCATCGGCTTTTTAAAACATTTTTTCTTTTATTTTTTTTCTCTAAAATATTTCTACTTTTTATTAAAAAAATGTTTTTATCCATATTTTTTTATTTTACCTAGCGCATCATACTTTTTAATCAAAAATTTACTCATCAAATTCTATTTTTACTTTTCAGGTCAAAGGTAAAAATGGATAATTAACTATAAATACATGGAGGGAGTATACTCCGTATTTTATATGGAGAATTTATTTAAATAGTACTAAAATAATACGAGGTAGTTACTTTTCAATGTAGTATCATATGTTTAATTTCTCAATGTAGTAACACTAATTATTGTTCAAATAAATGTCCATTGCCACGGGACATTGTTCAAACTAAATGTGTACCATCATTGGATATTGTTCCCGTCACTAGACATTATTAAAGTACTTCTTCTGTCCTAAAACTATTTTCATTTGTGTTTACGAGGTTTGACTAATTTTTTTTTTCAATTCAATTTATCTAATTGTAGGTGTAAAATTAAAAAAATAAAATTTATATATTTAAAAACTACATTCAAAGTTTTACAAACCAAGATGTGACAAGACTATATTATTTATCAAATAAGTAGCGAAAATATGTAAAAAAAAGTGATTTAAGTTTGACCGTGTGAATAGTAACTGGGAAGATAATTTTAGGACAGAGGGAATACTATTTAGAGAATACAAAAGTTTAAGTGGTATATTAGAAAATGTTACTGTATAATTCATCTGTCATGCAAAAATTTCTCATATTGACTTTTAAAAGATTTAAGAAGAGTGTATTTTAATGTTGACTAAAATGAAATTTGATGTGATGAGTAAAATATAATGAGAGGAGTAGATTAATTGAGAAAAATGTGATGTGATAAGTAGATTAAGAATTAATAGGAATAAAAATATTTTTTTAATAAAAAAGAGAATTTTTTTGAGATGAATGAAAAGAGAAAAAAAGAGTTTTTTCTGAGACGAATGAAGTACTCCGTATATTTTAGTACGGAGTATTATTTAGTACAAATTTCAAATTTTATATATCTATAATCTCTATTTAAATAGAGCTTATAATCCCTCCACTAACGATTCTTCACATTTTCAGGGAGAAGAGAGAGAGGGCAGATCTGACTCTAGCTTGCTTGCACGCATCCAATCATGGCCTTCTCTAGCTGCTGCCCAACGGTGTTTCCCTCCTTCGAGTGTCGCTCCGACCCGGACTTCTCCGGCCGGTTTCCGCGTAACGAGTTCTCCGGCCGTCCCAACTCACCGAGTCAAAGATCTAGACTTCGCGCTCTCTCTTCTTCTTCTTCTTCTTCTCCGATCTTCAGGTTCCCTCCTAACTTCGTGAGGCAGCTCAGCATCAAGGCTCGGAGGAACTGCAGCAACATCGGCGTGGCTCAAATCGTTGCGGCTTCTTGGGCCAACAGCACCGCCGCGTCTGGATTTCCTCCGGCGGCCAAGGCATCCTATGCTTCCCTCGCCGCCTCCATCACGCCGCCTCAGGTTTCCGCTGTATCAGTGGAGGCGCAGCTGGCGGAGAATGGTAGTTGTAGTGACCAAAATGTACAGATTCAGGATTTTACCAGTGTGAAGAATTATGCTTCATTTTTGAGTTCGGATGGGAGCCTTGCAGTTCATGCTGGTATTCTTCTCTTCTTTTGTTTAGATTTTAGTCTAATGCTTATGTATTCCGTTTATTGTGTACTCATTCTGTGATTAGGCCACTTAATATTGATAAGTTCTCTTTAAAAATAACCTACTACCTCCATCCCATAAAAATTTAAAAGTGTCTATAAAATTTGTTAGACATTTTCTGACCCACATATTTTCTTAGAAGAAAGATAAGTTTCTTTTCGGACTCACGAAAAAGGAAAAAGTGAGAATTTTTGTGTTAGAGTATAAAACCTATCTTGGTCCTACAACCAAAGCTCAAGTTTTTGGTTGAATTGGTACCTTGACATCCAAGATGTCACAAGTTCAAACCTCACGGTCATCCAGTTTAAAAAAAATTAATTTTCACGTGTAAGAATCAAGCATAAGTAAACCTCTCTTTTTGGTTGAATTGGTTCGTTGACATTTTGTTGTTTTGAGATGGACAAAAAAGGAAAAGTGAAGATTTTTGCATGAACGAGGAAGTATTTCATACATTGTCTTTGGGCCCAAATTTTAAGGAGATCTGTTTACCACAATAAGAAAATTGAACCAGCTGTTCCTGATCCCCTTGAGCTGGGAAACTTCTTTACGGATGATTTAATACTTAATACTGAAGTCATTACCTTCAGTGTTAATGAGTTGCAATGTGGATGATGTATCCATATCCAGCCCTTTACATCATTTTATTGTTTTCATCACAATCCATTAATAATAATTCTTTCAGAAGAAGAACTATACTCCGTATTCTATCTCAATGCCACTTTAGGTGCATTCTCCCCTACAAATTCTATAATATAAATATGGGTTCTTGGATAGTCTCTTACCAAAATTTGATGGTCCACTCTTTACATTCCATGATTTTGGTGCAATGGCTCCTGATTTGGTGCATTGTGGGTTTGCCCCACATTAAAGAAAGGTTGCAAAGGTTTAGATGTCTCCAAATTTATCTCACACCTCCATATTAGTTAATATCTGAGGTAGAAAAAGATAAGAATGCTCCTTAAAAAGTTGTCCCTCCACGAAAAAGTTTAGCATGTTGCTTCACCAATTTTTTTTAATTGAGGGGCATATTTGGAAGTCATTACCAAAAGTTGCCTTGAATAAAAATATGTGAATTCAAAGTTTGAGCTTCAATTGGAATTGAGTAATATATTATAGTAATTCACAGCATTGAGAATTTTCAGATTACATGATTGCATGTTGCCTGTATGGATTGAAGTTTGAGTAGTAACTGCGTCTTTTCTGCAGGTGAAAGATTGGGGCGTGGTATTGTGACCGATGCAATAACTACTCCAACTGTTAACACGTCTGCCTATTACTTCAACAAAACTTCTGAGCTGATTGATTTCAAGGTATTTGCTGCCTGCCTCATTAATTAGGTTGGAAAGCTGTTGCAAGAGCTAATGCTTGTCAAATACGGAGTATATCCCTGCATAGTACAAAAGCCAAGCCTCTTTATGAAGTTCTAGGCTAAGTTTTTGAGTGTGCTGAACTTTGTAATTAGGGACAGTGTTGCACTATTGAAAATGGGGGTAATTTATTATGGAAATCCTGGTTTGTTGCAACCGCTAATTTTACTCTGCTGATCTGATCTCTGACAGGAGAAAAGACGTGCAAGTTTTGAATATGGGCGTTATGGAAACCCTACAACTGTTGTTGCAGAAGAGAAGATAAGGTTTTTTATTTTGGATTTTGAAGTTGTAACTTATGCTGGTGTTTATTATGCAAATTCATGGTTTGAGGCCACTTGGTTTTTCAAATCTGTAACAGTGCACTGGAAGGAGCTGAATCAACCTTGCTAGTGGCATCAGGAATGTGTGCTAGCACTTTAATGCTGCTGGCTTTGGTTCCTGCTGGAGGGCATATTGTCACCACCACCGATTGCTATAGAAAGACTAGGATTTTTATTGAGACAATACTTCCTAAGATGGGGATCACAGTAAGAAACTACTCACAATTTACCTCTACAATAATGATGATGGTGATAATAATAACAATAAAATTATTACTCTGTATTATTTATTCAATAATAATGATAATAATAATAATAATAATAATAATAATAATGTAATTATGCCATCTATTCTATAAAGGTAGGCCACTGTTTTTGCGCACAAAATAAGAAATAAGAAATGATTGCTAAGTTAGTTGGAACTATCAATTTGATGTGCAATCTCTATCTTTAACGTTTAAGTAGTTTTCTATGTAGGAGTGGCATTGAATTTTAATATTGATGATTAAGCAGGTGAAAAGTTGGAAATAAAAAATTAAATGCACATCCATTAAAGAAGAAAAACTATCTTTGTGAGATGAACGATGGGTTACAACTTCATGCTAGTTGTAGCATCCTCTTCCACCTTCAAATCATTTTTAATCTTATTGAGTGTCACATTTTGAATGCAGGCCACTGTAATTGACCCTGCTGACATGGATGGTCTGGAGTCTGCATTACATGAAAATAAAGTCGGTATTTGTGATCAGTCTCACTTTCTTTTTAACTTGTGTTCTTGTGTATGAGTACAATATTATTTAATAGTCCATATTATTGATAAGTGGAGTTCTCTTCAGGTGAGCCTTTTTTTCACAGAGTCACCAACCAATCCATTATTCAGATGCGTTGACATTGAGCTGGTTTCCAAGCTTTGCCACAAAAAGGGGGCCTTGGTTTGTATAGACGGAACATTTGCGACTCCTCTGAACCAAAAGGCCTTAGCCCTTGGGGCTGACCTTGTTCTTCATTCTGCAACAAAATTCATTGGAGGACATAATGATGTATGCTGATGTCAGCTAGTTTCTAGTTGTTGCATTCCCTATCCTTCATGCCTTGACTAGTTTCATCTCATCCAAATCCGTGTATTGTTGCAGGTCCTGGCAGGATGCATCAGTGGTCCTGAGAAGTTGATTTCGGTAGTTCGTAACTTGCATCATATCCTTGGTGGTACTCTCAATCCAGTAAGTGTTCTTTATTGTGCGAAGCTATGGTTAGCTAAATAGAATATGCTCTGTAATTATGAAAGTCTGTGGTATATATGGTGCATCAGTTTGTTTTCCCACGCTGCATTTTGCTATATGTGCTTGATTTATATCTAACTTAGTTGTTTATTATATGCTTTTTGTTTATTTGTTAGAATGCTGCATATCTTATAATCCGAGGCTTGAAAACGCTGCATCTTCGTGTACAGCAACAAAACTTAACGGCGTTGAGGATGGCCGAAGTTTTGGAGGCCCATCCTAAGGTATTTTAGTTGGATCTTTTCAACTCTATTTTGCAACTTCACGAGTTTTTTAATGATTCTGTTTGCACAAGGTCGTGAATTTCTTAACCTAATGTTACTGAAGAGCTTTGTCATGTGTAGTGAATTGGCAACCCATGATTATCTTTATGAATTACTCAATTTGTCCAATATAAGAATCTTGCTCCAGTATCTTTTTCTCTCAAAAAGAGTCCTATACTTCTATTGATCAAACACATCTATTTTTGACTGATTTTCCAAAGGAAGACTCAATAAGAATTTTCTTTTTTAAAAAATTCATTCTCATTCATTCAAAATGCCAATACATGCATAAACTAGATATAGAATCAGAATCCATGGTCATTGATTCATTGATTTTCGGTCACACATGAACTCTGCGATAAGAACATGATCAGATATGAAAATAAAATGACAAGAGACCAACAAAAACCTATTTCTAGACTTGCACATAGACGAGAGAAAAAACTTGCACAAAACGAAAGAACAAAATGAAAAATAGATCTTGAAACATAAATAATGAGGTGGAAGATGAACTTGCATCTTGAAAAAACCTTAGTAGAAAAGATGAGATCAGAGATGCCCTCATTCTCAACAGATTAATGTTTAGGTCTACATCTTGCCTATTTTTGGCAACAAACAAAACTTGATGGAAAGGTAGACTCAAATCTAGAAGAGAAGAAATTTTTCTCTTTAGCGTGCTAGGGTTTGGTAGTCAGTTACAAGTTTACACATGAGAGTTGTAAAGTATACATAAAAAATTTAAAGTTGAACCTTGTAGATAAAATAGGTGTGAATCATCATTCATGCTTTATGAGAGTTGTACATCATATACTTCCTCTATCCCCTGCTAGGAATCCGCACTACAAGTTGGAAACGGTGGAAGTACCAACACTTAAAAGTTGTACCTCTGTCTAACATGACTCTTTTTTGTGGGACAAAGTTAGTTTTCATTTTCTAAATGTGTTCAACATGATTATGCATTTCTTTGAAAAATGATGAGTTTTGCAGGTGAGACACGTCTATTATTTGGGCTTGCCAAGCCACCCAGAACATCATATAGGGAAGAAACAAATGACTGGATTTGGGGGTGTTGTCAGTTTTGAGGTCCATTTTTTAAGCTTTCAGGCCACCATCTATTTCTATTTGATTTGTATTCTGTGCATTTTAGGCACTACTATCATAGGCTAATATCAAGTGATTGATTAGATTGACGGCGACCTGATGACCACTGCAAAGTTTGTGGATGCTTTGAGAATTCCATACATTGCCCCATCCTTTGGTGGTTGTGAGAGCATTGTGGACCAGCCCGCCATTATGTCCTATTGGTACGTTAATCTTCTAAAATATGGAGTACATAGACAACGGGTTTATAAATAGAAGAATTTACTTAAATAACATTAAAACATAATGACTTTCCCTGAAAAGCACCATATGTGTTTTTTTTCCAATGTAGCACTTTTAGTCATTATGCATTACTCATTATTCAAGTAAATATTTGTTATCACTGGACATTATGGACATTCTTAAGTGCTATTTAGGGAATAAAACAAATTAAGGCCCCGTTTGGTACATGGAATTCAAACTATGGAATTGGAATTGAGGACTTCAATTCCAATTCTAGTGTTTGGTAGCATAAAAATTATGTGGATTTTGGAATTGATAGTGTAAAAAATGAATTGAAATTGGTGGATTCAATTCTATGGAATTGAATCCCATGGAATTTCGATTCCAATTCAATTCCAATTCTATCAATTCCGTATACCAAACGGACCCTAAGTGCTATTTAGGGAAATGACTTAAGTTTTAGTGCTATTTAGTGCAAATATTTCTTATAAATACACATCTGAGAAGTGCGCACATTCTCTATTGATATGTTTGTAAAACAGGGATCTTTCGCAGTCAGAAAGGGCCAAGTATGGGATTATGGACAACCTGGTTAGGTTTAGCTTTGGAGTGGAGGCCTTTGAGGACTTGAAAGCCGATGTTCTTCAGGCTCTAGAGACCATATAAGTGCCTGAGCGCCCTCCTTCCTAGTTTTATAATTAGAGACGCCCACCCCATTTGGTTTGCTTGCATGCTTGCTTATTTACTTCTCCATATTATTATTACTACTTGATAAGTTTATTTCGTATTTATTATTTTACTCATATCTGAATGTTTTTTTTTGTAAAAAATATTAATCACGATAAAATAATGGTTTCTTTTGTAAATAATCAAAATATGTCATTTTATTTATAAAAAGTGTGTTTAAAATAATTCTAGAGTTTTAAAGCAAAACTGGACCGAACGGAGAAAAGTTTTGAAGAAAATAAATTCTTATATTCGTATTTGGAATGACAGCTACTACACTTACCAAAAATTAACCTCACGTGATTTGATCTGCAATCTGAAATTATTAGATTTTGAACAAATGTTTTATTGACTGAACCTGAAATAATTTGTTTATAATGGATCAAACCTAACCGAACCATAACCTGCTATGACAGAGTGGGTAAGGTTAGTGTTTTTAAAAGTCAAATATGTTAATAAGAAAAATAATGCGATGATAATAATAAGATTATGCTTTTATTTTTATTATTTTAGAGTATAGACTTATATTTTTATACTAGTTTTCAATAACACCACATTCTTAGCTTACATTTTTTTTTCAAAATTGGTACATACTTAATTTTTTAGTATTATTCATAATCTTGTTAAATATATCTAAAAACTAGTTAAAATTCATAATAAAGTATTCTGTTTGCTTTAATATATGCATTTTGATATGTAATATTAAATTTTCAATGCAAAATGTAAGTGGTAGTATGGAATTAAGTATTAAAAATATAAAGTTTATAACTTCTTGGGATGACCCAAACACGATGAAATTGAGTCATTCATATACGATTTTCAATCCAAAGCCAAGTTTGAAGTTTGAGTAGAGCTATTTGAAATTGAATTTACTCCCTCCATTTCAGATTTATCGACTCACTTCAAACATTGAGCTAATTTCACCTCTTTAGAGAATGTTTAATTTAATTATAAAGTGCTAGAGAAATAAAAAAATATAATGGTTCAAAAATGAGTTGAGCTATTGTGTAGAGAAAATATTTTTAAAGAGATAATATTTAGTGCGTTGTTCGAAATGTGGTAAATGTTTAAGGCGGACAGAGTATTAAATATAAAGAATGACGGCATAATCAATTCAATGTAAATAGAGTACTACTCCATCCGTCCCAAATTATTTGCCACATTTGTATTCCCGAGATAAAATATCAAGTTTTTTCAAATCATTTTATTTACATATTGGTATAGAAATAAAAAATAAAATTTACATATAAAAAAACTACATGAAAAGTTCTTCAAAATAAGAGGTGTCAAGAATATTTTATTTTATCAAATAACCAATGAAAATGCCGAAATAAACAAAAGTTCCCACGACTGCCAAAAAAGCAAATGTTGTGAATATTTAGGGACGGAGGGAGTATGTGTATTAAGTGAATGGGTAATGACAGGGGTATACCAAAATAGAGTTAGGGTCGAATACAGAATTTTATCTTTGAAAACGGGTGGGATTGGGCCTTCTAACAAAACGAGTCGGGCCAGTTCTCGAATCAGTGGGTGCTCTCTCCACCCACCCTCCTCGAATGCTTCGTGTTTCACAACAACCGCCTGCCACGGCATTGGCCGCGGCCGCCACCACGTCGCCTCCGGTGGTTTCCCCTTGGAAGCCGAAGCCGAGGAGGCTGAACTAGCAGGCATTGGGAACTCGAAATCGACTGTAAATTTCGAACAACCATCCATCTATCTATCTATGGATTCGTTGTTTTTTCAGGCGAAAGAGTGGCCCGCAGTTTTGCTTCTGATGGGACAACCACACATCTCCTTATTCCTTCTTCAACAGAACATCCGAATTTATTGATTTCAAAGTACTTGCTCCCATCCACATTCATTCATTCATTGCCATGGCATATACCAATTTCGTTGGTTTTGTTCTGATGCTGGTGATCTTGCAGGAGAATCAACGAGCCAGTTTTGAAAACGGGCAATTGGGAAACCCAACTGCTGCAGTTGCAGAAGAGAACCCGAGGTCGACTCATCACACCTTATTTTGCACTCTAAAAATGTTCGATAAAACCTTTCATGAGTCTAGACCACAATTTGAGCTTTTGGCAAAAATGATTTACAAAAACAATTTTCAAAACACAATTTCAGCTTCAATGGATGATGCTTGCAAATGTTGTGAAAAGGGGCTATGTTACTATGGGGTATTTTGTTATTCTGAATCAGTATATCTTATTTAACACATTACAACTGGTCACAATTGCACTTCATTTCTCATTTCTCTTTTTGTTGCATCTTAGCCTAACAATCACAGTAGAGTTTAAAACAAAGCTGTAATTACCTCTTTTTGATATTTTCTAAAAACTTTTGTTCAAAAACTGTACATAAATAAATGGTTCAGTTTGCCAACAACTCAGTCGATGAACCCTTTGCAGAAATATCAACAATCCCAAGGTATATCAAAACACATTTTTGAAAAAAACAAACATTTTTTATTCATACAAAGCAAAATCTTGGCTTAGCCGCTTACTCTATTACGGTTAGGGACCGTGTGTGCAGACTAGTAATCCTCTCTTGAAATACATGGGTGCATTTAGATCCTACTAGAGGCTTCCATTGCGGGTTTCTAAACTTATATCACAAACATTATTACAAAAATTTAAAAGCACTATTAAGAATTAAAATTTTCCTATAAACCTATTGTTATATTTTTACATGTGCAGCCTGAAAGCCAATGTGTTCTGATAAAGGTTGTTGAAGATAGCATTTCACTGGCCTATGATGATGTTAACAGTTTTGTGTAAAAAGGCATTTGAACCAAGACCCCGTCAATCAGGTAAGGAAAATGAACCTTACTAACTATGTCAAGTTTCAAGTTTTTTAAAATTTTGTTCGTTTGCAAATTGTATGCCCTTTCTAATCCCTAACAGTAAAAAAAAATACAATTTTCAGATTCATGCTGAAATCAAATTAACTAATCACCCAATAGCCAATCCCTTATGTGTTATTGGTCAGTATGTCGCTGAAAGCAATGGTCACAGTGCGATTGGCCTTTATGTGGACTGCTATTATTGGCATCACTTATAGGTTGACAACACTACACTATGCTTGCTGGTATTTTAATGGGTTCCCGAAGAACTTCAAGGGCAATTGAGTAACTTGGGTAACTTGGGTAAAAACAACATTCACTTACCGGAGTAAGTGAATGAAAAAACTATCAAATATTTTTTGTAAATTTCTATTCAATCTCACCACATAAAAATTGGGTAACTTAGGTAAATACAGCATTCACTTACCGGAGTACTTGCTTGTTCCCAATTTTAAAGCTGTTGGAGTTAAGTGAATTTAGTTTTACACAAAAAAACTTCAGCCACAAACTCCTTATGAGATGTATAACTCTCAAGTCTTTAGTGATTTAGAGTTGCCGGTTCAAACACGTTGAGAATAAGCTGCAGATCTTAAACATATATTCGAAAAGTATAGAAACCCTGAAATAAGGGGTTGGTGCAGCCCTAGTCGGCGTGGTCGGATATGCGTGGATGCGCCTTGGTTGGTGTCTTTCATCTTCACGGGTCATGTCCAGCCACCTATGCTCATTCAAAAACCTGAAATCTGTGACATGACCCGTGAAGATGAAAGACACCAACCAAGGCTTATCCGACCACGCCGACTGGGGCTGCACCAACCCCTTATTTCCAGGGCTTCTATACTTTTCGAATATATGTTTAAGATATGCAGCTTATTCTCAATGTGTTTGAACCGGCAACTCTTAATCACTAAAGACTTGAGACTTATACAACTCATAAGGAGTTTGTGACTGAGTTTTTTTGTGTAAAACTAAATCCACTTTACTCCAACAGCTTTAAATTGGGAACAAGCAAGTACTCCGGTAAGTGAATGTTGTTTTTACCCAAGTTACCCAATTTTAATGTGGTGAGATTGAATAGAAATTTACAAAAATATTTGATATTTTTTTTGTGTTTTTTCTTTCTGTTTGAATACAAAATTACACATTTTTTAATTTATTTGATCATTTCAAAAATAATCTAGTCATTTGTAGTATTTTAATGTAGAGATTAAAATATATGTTGTATATTTTATTTTATGTCAATATTTAAATAAATAAACCAAAACTAAGTTCATTTAAGCATGTCATAAAAAATATGATTTTTTAGAGGTTATGAAAGTAACTGTTTTTGAGGAAGGAAATCTCATTTATTAATTGATAGTTTTATTATAAATGTTGTGAAAAAGTATAAAATTAGATAAATGTATTCTAATGAAAGCGTTTATCTCTTTTCCAAAATTAAATTTACTAAATAATGTTAAAATCATAAAGAATGTTAGTGTAAACATAGTATATCTTGGTAACATTTTTTATATCAATTGTTAACTATAATTTAACTAAAAATATCATATAATAATAGATAACTATAAAGATTATATTCTTCAATTTAAATCATAAATAATATGCGGAATATAAACCATAACATAGTTATGAAAGGCGAGTGGCGGGCGAGAGGACCTTTTCTATGGCAAGAGGCGTGGCGTATGGCGGGCGGTCAAATGGCGAACAAAAAAAAGCGAATACACACACACACACACACACACACATACATATATATACATACATACATACATACATACATACATATATATATATATATATAACTTTTAGCTTTGTATTTTTTGTTTATAATTATTTGTTTACATTTTTTAATTTTCAATATTCCAAATCTTTTTTCTTTTGGAATTCTTATTGCATAAATAAATTCTTGAAGTCATTTCATATAATATATTCAATTATTAATGGAATTATTTATTTTAGAATAAGTAAGAGAACTATTATTCTAAAAAAATTATTTCATTAATAATTGAATATATTGTAGGAAATGAATTTAAATTTTATTTATGTAAATATAATTCCACAAAAAAAGATTTTGAATATTGAAAATAAAAAAATGTAAACAAATAAATATAAATAAAAATGCAAAACTGAAAGTTTAATAAAAATCATAAGTGAAACCTTACCATAACTGCACACGGGAAGCTTAAAGCACATAAGGCACAGGATAAGGATTTCTTTTTAAGATTTAAATGAAATATGGGCCTGGTATGGTTGGATGGTCTAGATCGGGTCAGGTAGGTTAAGGACTGCAAC